AATGCAAAAATGTAAGAAATGAATCCAATCATTTATGATAAATATGGTGTTTCCTGTTTGATTGTGTGTGTGAGCATTTCAATACAAAGATTCAACAAACACATTTTCCTATTCTGTGGTTACGTTGTTATTATAATGTAAAATGTACGGAGTAATAAGAAGTGCACTTACCCATTGTAGAACTTTGATAAATCCCAGCGGTTGTTTGAGTATAGTGAACTGCCCTTGGGCCACCAGCTGCCAAAACACACACACACAAAAAACAGCCGTTAGTTAAAATGTATTTTAACTTTTTCACACAGCTGCCTCTCGCTCTCTCTCTCTGTGTGAAGTTGATGATTGAAATCAGGAACCTAATTACCTCACACTCATAGCGCCCTGAGGCTGCGTGATACAACGCAAATATGTGAGTCCAAGCATCAACGAAAGCAATAAAAGACTAACATTTGGGGTTCATTTTGCCATAACTGTCGCCAAAAGAGGGGCGTTTACTCAATTTTAAGGGGCACAAAGAATTGTAATTAGTGCATAAAGTGCTTACGCTTAAATGCTTTGAATCAGAAAACAGGAAATATTTTATTTATACCGGGGATATTGGGTTTTGTGGCTCCATTTTGTAGTTTGCTAAAATAAGAAATATATTTAAAAAATGTAATAAAATTAATTTAAAAAAAATGTGCACGAGTAAAATATCCATTAAATGAATAAAAAATGTAATAAAAATATTAACACAAACTTAATCTAAAGAAAATAAAAAAGTATAGTAACGTTTAATTTAAAAAATGACACACTTAAGACTTTGGAAAAAAAGAAAGCAAAAACACTAAATAAAAATGTGCATATAGTAGCCTACACAAAATGATGTATTAAAAATAAATACTATATGAGGCTTTTTAAAGGACATGGATAGTGCATTAAGTTGTAAATGTGTATATATATTTACATATTGGGCATTGTTGCCCCTGTCCCCCTCTATGACACTGCCTATACCACCATTATGGCTTCAAACGCTCTGACTGTGTGTGTGTGTGTGTGTGTGTGTGTGTGTGTGTGTGTGTGTGTGTGTGTGTGTGTGTGTGTGTGTGTGTGTGTGTGTGTGTGAGCTCCTGGCAGCATTACCGTTACACTAAAGCTGCTTAACCTGTTTTCTCGGTGCTCTCACGATGCACACTTCACAGCAGCCTTTTACTTTTTTTTAAGATATCATTTTACCTGCAGCTCTCGCGTTATCTGCCACAAACAGGAGGATGTATTTGTTGCGCAGGTGATGCGACACCGCAAACAAGGAGAAGAGGAGGAAGAATAAGAAGGCGGTGTGTGTGTGTGTGTGTGTGTGTGTGTGTGTGTGTGTGTGTGTGTGTGTGTGTGTGTGTGTGCGTGCGTGCGTGCGTGTGTGTATCAATAAATGGCCGCAGCAGTGATGATGGTTTCTCTGCTACTCTCCATCATCTTTCAGCATCCATATTGAACAGATGACGCATCCTCACAAAATGCATGTTTCATCTCCCTATCCGCTCACACTGAAGCCCCTCTTTGTCACAGAGCTTCTCTTATGTCGTGCGGCCTATACTGCGGCTATCCGAGCACACACACGCGCACACACGCGCGCGCACACACACACACACACACACACACACACACCGACACACACCGACATAATGGTCTGCCTTAGAAATTAATCATGTTTGTTATCCAAGCAGCAGCATGCTCATCGAGACAGCCTAAATCAATTAGCAGGATGAATCCCGGTGGAGGCCACATCTTCTAAAAGCTAAATGTCATTGCTGCAGAAATCTCTGCTCATCCTACACATTTTTTTGTGGTGTCACTGAGAACAGGCTAATCTATTATATCTGCAGATTAACAGGAGGATAAATGACACCGTCGTGCAGACATACATGCATAAATCACAATTCCGACTCATCGAGAGCTCTGCGCTGAAAAACGGTAAAGGTCGGCGCATCTTTGGCCAAAAAAACATCCTACTTATAGCGCACGATGGAGGACAATAATGGTAAATTAATGAGAATCATCTACAGAAACAAAACAGTAATTAAATATATGATTTCCCCCGCGCAAAGCCTTACCTGGTTTACAACATCCATCTTGACCGCTTACTCGCTGATAAGAGGATCAGAGGGGCGGAAGGAGGGAGGCGTCTCTCCGGAACAGCCAGGGAGGGGGGGTGATGGCGGGGAGGCAGACACCCAGGAGGAAGAGCAGACTGCGTCACAAACTGGGCGAGGACGTGTGAAGCGTAGTGACGTCAGAGGAAGCATCAGAGGTGGAGTAAATGAGAGCCAATGAGAAAGCAGCTTTATTCTCAAGGCAGTGAGAGGTTGCCCCGAGGCTTATTAATGCAGAGAGAGAGGAGTGTGTGTGTGTGTGTGTGTGTGTGTGTGTGTGTGTGTGTGTGTGTGTGTGTGTGTGTGTGTGTGTGTGTGGGAGGGGATAGATCACGCCTTAGTACACAGAATGACAGATATAAAGCAATAAGGAAAAGGTCGAGAAGGTTTGTGAACTGCATGCTGGTCATAAACACGTTCAAATGTCACAGGGAGGGTCACTTTAAAAGTGTATTATGTTACAATTCATAATTATTACCTGTAAAATCACTTAGTCAGCAGGCTTTGGGAGGAATGGATATAACGGGCTTATGTAATCAGGATACAAAACAAACTGTGTTCCCTTACAGTTACATCAAATAGGAGTAATCAGATTACTATTAATGTAAATGCACTGCAACTCAACCACTGCCTTAAAAATGCTGTTTTAGTTGAATACATTAATTAACAAATCAGGTGTCCACCTAATGCTTTTTAAACAACTGTTAGCATATGCTTCCTAATATTTAAAAAGGACATATTGCTCATGTTCAGGTGCACATTAGTATTTAGCGTCTCTACTTTAAAGAGTCCTCTCCTGCTGATGTTCAGGTGTATATCAGTATGTAGTGTCTCTACTTTTAAGCACTGAGCCTGTTTTTACGACGCTGAAGTTGGCTTCCGATTCAGAGCATCCGATTCGGCAGTTAAGGGGAAAGTTAAGGGACATTTAATTTACAGCGCAGAGCGAACAATCCTCCGTGTTTGAACCTCTTAAATCGCTGCATAGCCGATTTATTTGGACTGGATTATCCCAGAGAGTCTAAAGATTATTTATAACACAGTTTCAGATTTGTGAAACCTTAATTCTATTTGTGAAAATACAAAAAAGGGAGATTTCAGTGCTTTTTTTACATGTAGACCACATTAGACCAGGTCCTGATCTGAAAGCACTATACCTAGACTCATCAAATCTGGACTGGATTATCCCAGAGGGTCTAAAGATTCTTTATAACACAGTTTTGCCAAGATCTTTAAGCATCAGACCTGTCCAAAGAGGCACAGTACCAGCGTAATGGAGAATTATTTCCACAAGTGTCTCACAATAATGAGGATTTGGCTGGCATGCTCCGTTTGCGTCATCCTCCTTCCCTGCTTCCTCCTGTGCTTGTGTGACCACCTCTTTGATAGGAGCAAAGAAAGGGGATGATTTTGTGAGAGATCTGTGCATGTCTTCAAAATCAGAAGGTGTGTGGTCTTCATCCTCATTTTTGAAATTGATATTTTCTGACTTCTGTGTCCGTATGGCCTCCTGCAGTGCTGAGAGATGTTTCTTGCACCCATTAGTTTCAGTCTTTGATGAAAAAACATGTACCATACACCTTGAAATTGACAATACCTGGCCAAATACAGTAGCATTTTGAGGGAGGGCAAAACAGTACAAAAAAAATAGTTTTGTCTCCTTTCTGCACTGAACCATGGACAACTTCATACTGATCAACTTCAGCATGTGAGCAGTATTACTGTGAGCTGCACTGACCGCTGCCCATGGAATTAAGATAAGGTTTTAAGGTATAATAAGGTATAAGGTATAAGGTATAATCTGAAACTGTATTATAAAGAATGTTTAGACCCTCTGGGATAATCCAGTCCAGATTTGATGAGTCTAGGTCTAGTGGTTTTAGATCAGGACCTGGTCTAATGTGGCCAGGATGCGAAAAAAGCACTGAAATCTCACTTGTTTGCATTTTCACAAATAGAATAAAGGTTTCACAAATCTGAAACGGTGTTATAAAGAATGTTTAGACCCTCTGGGATAACCCAGTCCAGATTTGATGAGTCTAGGTCTAGTGGTTTTAGATCAGGACCTGGTCTAATGTGGTCTAGATTTTAAAAAAGCTGCAAAATCTCCCTTGTTTGTATTTTCACAAATAGAATAAAGGTTTCACAAATCTGAAACGGTTTTATAAAGAATCTTTAGACTCTCTGGGATAATCCAGTCCAGATTTGATGAGTCTAGGTCAAGTGGTTTTAGATCAGGACCTGGTCTAATATGGTCTACATGTGAAAAAAGCACTGAAATCTCCCTTTTTTGTATTTTCACAAATAGAATAAAGGTTTCACAAATCTCAAACTGGGTTATAAATAATCTTTAGACTCTCTGGGATAATCCAGTACAAATAAATCAGCTATGCAGCAATTTAAGAGGTTAAAACACGGAGGATTGTTCGCTCAGCGCTGTAAATTAAATGTCCCTTAACTTTCCCCTTAACTGCCGAATCGGATGCTCTGAATCGGAAGCCAACTTCAGCGTCGTCATATACGACGCCACTATCATGTTACGGAAGCAAACAAAGGAGCCCCGCTGGTGGTAACACAGGGATGTTAGCCTTTGCAGACCATTTACATGCACACAAACATATATTACACACTATACGAAAGGGAAAAACCCCAAAAAGCAGAATACGGCCTCTTTAATGACTTCCATGAGATATAATGTGGACATTCATGGATAAAAGGGATGGCAGTTTCTTCCGTCTTATACACTGGACTTGACCACGGACTGTATAATTTAGAAAACTGTAAAAGCATGTGAATACCTACAGTTATCCTAGAAGTTATCAATAACTTCCTATGCATCACTGTAATTCTGAAGCATTCCTGTCTTTCAGAAATACAGTGTGATGTCACAATTTTCTGAGGCTCCTCTGATGTTGATGGAGAGATCAGCTACAAGTCAGTTTTGGCACACACAGCGCCATGTTACACCAGTGTTCGTGTTGTATGAGCTTATTGTGATGCTTCACACGCAGGCCTGTTTGGTGTGAAGAGGAGTGGAGTCCACATCAATGGCTACACTGTCAGTGACGGGGGGGAAGTCAGCATGTGGCTGGCACGTCGCTCCCCTACTAAGCAGACGTACCCTGGACTACTGGACCATGTGGTGAGTGAAGACTGTCTGACAGTGTCTACATACTGCCATAGTAGATACTTGATGTACACAAAGGATAAGTCTTAAATACAGAGTTCTTCCAATTCAGATTTCCACAAATGAATGAATGAGTCGATTTTATGTCTCCGAAGGCAGCAGGTGGTCTGGCTGCTGGGCTTGACATCAAACAAACTGTGGTCAAAGAATGTGAGGAGGAAGCATGTATCCCAGCAGCCATTGCCGAAAAGGCTCGTCCTGTTAGTACAGTAAGGTAAGCTTGATATTTCTTCCATTAACTTAAAATGATAAAAAATCTTATGATCTATTATCAGTCAAACCGACCAGTCAGTAGTGTGTGTGTGTGTGTGTGTGTGTGTGTGTGTGTGTGTGTGTGTGTGTGTGTGTGTGTGTGTGTGTGTGTGTGTGTGTGTGTGTGTGTGTGTGTGTGNCACTGCGAGGGGGACCCAAGTTCCCATCAGCAAAAACACGTGGGTTTGCTATCCTGGCTCCAAAATGGTGGAATGAGCTCCCCATTGAAATCAGGACAGCAGAAAGCTTACACATCTTCCGGCGCAGACTGAAAACTCATCTCTTTAGACTCCACTTCGAGCGATTGAATTACTAACAAAGCACTTATATACTAATAAAGGACTGGCTTATCTAGAGCCAGTTGAGTAGCACTTGAAATGTTTGGCTCTATGAAACCTGATGTACTTATATGATTCTGTTTTCTTCAAGGTTGTATCTTCCTGGTCGAATGCACTTATTGTAAGTTGCTTTGGATAAAAGCGTCAGCTAAATACAATGTAATTTAATGTAATGTCATCCAACTGTACATCACAGCACATTATTTTGACCCACAGTGGGAAAACTTCATTCTCATGCTTTAACTGTTATGAAGACAGAGGAGCAGCATTTTGCTGACAACTGTAAACAGGCTTGTCTGTTTGAGCAACTGGCTCTGTGCAAAGCAGTACACAGGGTTGGGAGAGAGTGTAAGAGAGAGAGAGAGAGAGAGAAGTTCCAGGTTGTTGTGTTGAGAATATTCAGGAGAATATTTGTCATTGTTCCAATGATAATAAACAAACATTTGCATTAAGCATATTGGTCCACTCATATGTTGATAACAGTATTGAACACTTGAAACATATTCCTCTAAGGTACATTGAGAACAGATAAAAATGTGCGATTAATCGCGATTAACTATGCACATCATCGTTATCAGAATCAGAAATCCTTTATTAGTCCCACAGCTGGGACATTTACATGTTACAGCAAAAGTGGCATAGACGCAAAAGTGGCATATCAGGTAAAAAAACGGCATGCAATAACACAGAATAAGCTAACTGTTGTGCGCAGACGGCTCTGCTAAGATTGTTCCCTAGTTTAGGTTTTATGTTATGTGTTTGGATAGGTTCCTGTTTTATTTTGATAGTCTTGTCTACCCTCATGTGTCTGAAGTACATTTCCTGCCTTGTCTGTTTTCCCGCTGTTGTGCTTGTCTAATTGTCTTCACCTGGTGTTGCCTGTCTAGTATATATAGTTCTTGTTGCCAGATTGTCTTGTATGTTCCAAGCATTCCAGCGTTAAGATCATTTGTCATTGTCCTTAAAGTTATCATCCATAGAGAGTTGAGTGTTTGTTTTGTTACTTTATGTATTCAGTGTGTTGTTACCTGATTACATTAAAACACTTTATTTTGATACTTTGTTTGTGTCTGCATCGTGCATTTAATTCCACGCCTTTGGACAGCCTTAGGGGATTACAAAATGCATAAAGCTCCTCTTTGATCTATGAGGGTACTTTAAACATTTCCTGGCAATATATTCAATAGTTGTACTGATCAAACAACTGGGGTTTCAATCATTAAAGACTTACATTAGTTAAAAGGAGAAGGGAAAAGAGGATCCACATGAAACTGCATGGATTTTGAACATTGGGCGCGTTGACTGCCCCCATCTGTCTTTGGTCGACCTTTTAAACAATAACCTGGTACTGTTTATTGTGTTTATCCGTCAGTCTTCCAAATGAAAGCAGACTGTGTACACTTGCAGGAATTATTCCCAGAAGAGTACAATGAAACATTTCTCACTGAAAAGTTTACACATACAGCAGGTCATAGTGAGTATATTCATAATTCTCAAAACCAAAATACACGTTGGGTTATTTTTTGTATTTCATATGAAAAGGAATCCCAGACATTTCTGACATTCATGTTAGCATTTCTTCAAAAACACCAAAAAGGTAACTATACTTTCTCGTTGCTACACGTAGAGAAAGGCACCAGCCAAATCACCAAATGAACACTGAGACAGAGGAACGTTGGAAGAGAAGAAATAAAAGCTTTGCTCTGCTTTGATCTGACGTCTCTGAGAGGAATATGCTCGGCAAAATGTTAATCTACCCTCTACATTGCAGATTACCCCCACCCCTCTTCAAAATGTGACTGTTCTCAGATGGTCAAGGTAATTTTGACCCACTTAGGCTGCTTTGATCCGAAACCCCTTTTAACAGATCCTCCACACTAGCGTTCAAACTGATTTTGTCATTGCCGACCACAGCCCTCTGCTAAGATCCAGAGCCGGAGCTAAAGCTCTTCCAAGCTGCCAGAGTTGCTGACAGCCAGCAGAGTTGAAAGCACTTTCTTAATGCTGACGATCAGTGCGAGTGACTTGCTGCTAATGGGTTGCACTCCCACTTTTCAGAGAAGGCGGTTGAGGGAGGAGGGGGTTGTCTCATACTTTGGGACAGTTATTTATTTCCTTTCAAGAGTATTATGAAGTGTTCAAATGATTGTTTACTCTTGTATTGATCTGGCTTTTGTTGAAACTTTCTATATGCGGCTCTCCTTTCAAAGTCTCTCTTACTGTGATTCTGGCTGCTCTGTTCTGAGGCGATGAATCGGCTCGGATTTGTGACGGTACTTTAAAAGAAATGTCACAGCGAGCGTCACCAAGGCACAGAAATGTGATTAAAGAATCAGATAACGAGAGAAAAACACAAAGAGAGTGTTGAGAGACGTGTTCACGGACTCTTCAGAAGTGATTCAAAGCCTCTTTACTTGGAGACCTGTTCCCTGTCATCCTCTCCAACTTTTTTTCACGATGTCTGAGTTTACTTAACTGAGAAAACAGCTTTTGTGCCAGAAAAGCTTTGCACTCCAGCTTCACACTGTAGATGCTGTGTGTTGTCATCCCTGGTTGTTGATGGATCGGTCACTTTTTCCCACTCAGCTAATATCACTGAAGTACCTGTTTCAGCTTAAAGACCCATTATACTTGCTGTGGAAACAAGTCTGGGAGTAAAGTGCGGCTTTGACGTCAGACTCAGTAGTATGACGGAAAATATGTGGATTGCAACGGTTTTGCATCATTTGTACTTTGTATAAATCCCCATGCTCTCATACCATGTCAAATCCTCAAAATGATTTTGAGTCTCTTTGCTTGGCTTGTTACCGGGTATCAATACCTCAGAAACAAACAGTCATCTTGGCAGCATGTAACACAACCGGGCACAAGGGAAAACATGCAGCAGGTGGAGTTGAAAGGCAGTTTACTTTGTCAAAATAAGGCGTGTGATGGTCAGTAACAGGCAGGGAGGATTTGGAAAACATCTCCAAAGATCGACAGGTACACATTTCAACATGTAGTAAGAACTGGCAGGGTTTCCCCACAGGCTGAAGTCTTTGCATTGGTTGACCTCCAAAGAAGCAATCCACGTTTTTGGCTGGAGAAAGAGCTTATCAAGACTTTCATTAAATAAAACATGTAACCTAAAATGTTAGTCGTGCCCATTTTGTTGTAGCACTTTATTTTCATGGCACTACATTTGTTACTTTGAAGCCACCTTTGAGCATACATGTTTTTTTCCTCTTTTTGTATTGCATAAAATGTAATTAAGTGACTTTACAAATGGATTTCCCCCACTCTCAATAAGGTTCTGCTAATGTATTAAAGGTCACCTATCATGCTATTCTTAGGCAATAGCATAGGTCTCAGATATATAGAAATATATAAAAAACATGTCTATGAAGTGTTTTGCTCAAAATACTAAACAGATCACCCATTCTAGCCATGCCTCATATCCCTCTATTTCACTTCCTGTTTCAAAAGTGCTGATTTGGGGTATAAAGCTTTAAAAAAAAAAAAAATTGGAGGGGTCTGAGCTCATGCGGGACCCGGCAGCTACTGTCTAAACTAAATACTGCCGTGATGAAACGCCATATCATGGATTATCAAGGATTATCTCTGAAACAGTATGGAGCTCAAAGGCTTTCTCTCTTGCCGGTTATACCACAAGGTGAGTTCCTTTTTATTTCCTGCTTCTTCACACACATGCTCTCCAGTACAGGTTAGCTCTGAGTGTTAGCGATGCTAATGTAAACACCGACCATATTACGTCCAAAACAGTCGGGCATTGTTTCTGATAGCAACGTTTCTGGTATAAAAGACATGAAAAGGTGCATTTTGCACGATAGGTCCCCTTTAAGTCTTATTTTCTGTGCAGTTGAAGAAATGTATGTTTTTATAGTTACATCAAAAACCAAAACACGTACCATCAAGTATTTCGGGCCAAGAATGGAGAAGACAATAACTCAATGTAAAATACACCTCTGGTGAATGTTAAGAGCCATCTAAAAATCCCTACAATGGGGTGCAAAAAGATGTGCACACAGCACTTTCTGCTAACAAGCCCTCAATGCAATGCATCACATGTAATAGAGGCAAAAATTGAAGTCATGTAGTACACTTGATTCAGAGTCGCAATATTGCATGTACTGCACTCTGTAATGAGTAGACAAGGGAGTGATTTTGCACACAGATATATATTTGGATGTTATCCTGCCCTAACAAGCTCACTGTAAGTTATAACTGTAAGAAGAGGTCTCAGTGAAAACCCTAGATCACAGTACACCCAGATGTAAGGCAACTTGCATGCATGTAGTTAACTCTTCTGTTATAATCAAATGAACCATGAAATACAATTGCAGCTTGTGGCGCTTATTTACAAATGTTTATGAGCCACGACTGCCTTTAGATTCCTCGTCCACTTTACAGTCTACTCACTCACTTTGTGAAATCAACTAAACAAACAATTTCACTTCAAAGGGTTTGGTTAATGAAGCTGTTTATCATAATTTGAATAATCCACACAAAGTAGCAGGCTTTATACTGCAGATTTATTTTGTCCCACTATTCTCAGCGCTGACAAACAAGAACTCAGAACAACAACAGCTTGAGTTTTTCCCACAACGCTCCCCTGAGTGGGACCTGCGCTTTTCCTTGGGAGTGGAATGTGTCCCAGCTTTCCAAGTGAAGGAAGAAAAAGGCTTTTAACT